CTTGAGTTTAGTTGGCTCAAACCTGTCCTATAAATAGTAACCGGGTTCTAAGGAGCTCAATATCACTGGATTGTTTTCTATGTTCATTGTTTTGGTTTAGCCACTTAACTAGCAACCAAAATATTCCAAGAAAACAACCCTCAATGAGTGTAGTATCGAGTATCTACCAACTTTGGACTACACCAAAGCCGGTCATCTCACTACCCTTAATAAAAGGCCAAGATGGTCAAGTAAGGTTCTATGAGTTCATTAGTGCTTTATGACATCACTCAGCGGCCCCGTATTCTCTTTGATTGACTCAAAGGCTACTGGTACTCACAAATATGTCGCACTAATATAGCTATTTCTTCAACCATGTCGGTATACCCCGCACAGTTTCCATAATGTATTTCTATTTACCTATGAATGTTTCCCAAATCCGGGTAGAGGATTTCAAGCCCAAACAAGAGAACCAAATGTAAAGCAATCAAAACAAACAATATAATCATTCAAAGGGTGATCTAAGCCCTAAGGTTACTCCACTTTTAAAGTATTCCCCAGCAGAGTCGTCAGTTCTGTGATACAGTGGGAGAACTGACTTGAGGTTTTGAGTTTGTGTTCGCAAATGTTTCAGTTTAGCAAGAGTCACCACCAACTTTTTATTTTATCCTAAGGAAGGGTCAAAAAGCACAGGAAAGACCTTTGAGATGTTTTCTTGGGTTCGGGGAGTAGATTATAAAAAGGGAAGGTATTAGCACCCTTTCTATCCATGGTTATCCATGGGCTCTTAGTTACTTGTTTAGATCACTTGCTTTACTTTTCAATTGTTTGAAATGGTGCTTTGTGTGTGGTTTTGAAAGATGTTTTGAAAAGAGGCCATCGTTGTGGCAACCGTTGTAATGATTCTTGTTTGAATGTATACAAAGGTGTTTTTGTCTTTTGAAAGTTTTCAATGTTTGAAAGTAGGGTTTTGAATTTGTGTGGTGAAGTGTGTTTTGAAAACAGCAAGGATGTTTTTGCAAGCTTTTGATCAAGTAACTAAGAGTTATCTACCCTATTTTACTCAAAGATCTTTCTTATGTTTTTAACCCTTTTAACAGTGTTGTTTCACCATTGTATTTGGTGAACAAACTTGTGTTAGGATGTTAAACGGGACAGGCGCGGGTCATCGTATAGACCATGATAGCAATAGTGTCAAGTATTTTTGGCAATTTTCTTGAGGGACATGATCACTTTGTTTAGGCAACCTAGATAGCGTCATCGAGGGACTATGATCTTTTGCTTTGTTTTTGCTTTGCCAAAGTACTCAACATGCATACCATAGCCCATTTTTGAAGGCAACAAGTGGATTGTAACCCTAGGGATGCAAGTGTGCATTGTGTTTAATTTTCATGCATTTTTGTCTTTGATTAGGTCAAACTATTTGTTGGTTTTGATTTTGCATACAAACCCTAATTCTCTAATCATGGCATACTTGAAAGCATTTAAGTGCGTAAAAATAAATCTAAGCTATTACAACTTGATATAGGGAGGGGGGTACAAATTTGAATAGGGGATTATTTTGCAATAAATTAAACCCTAAATTATTACAACCAAATTGAATTTGCAAGGCATAATACTTAAATGTACAATATTTAAATAAATACAATAAATAAATATTATATAAAAACTATTATGCAAAAAGGTTTTTTTAGATATGTAAAGTATTTTCAATGGAAAGAAATAAATAAAAAGTTAATTTTGAATTATTTTTTAGGGTAAACCCTAATTCCTTAAAGAAATGGTATTATTTAATATTTATATACAAAAATGTATCAATATGTACAAAAATAAAAGTATATTGAAAAAAAGTATTTTTTTTAGTATAAAATATCAATAAAAATAAAAATGTATTATTTTTGTGTTTTTTATTCTATGCTTTTAATAAAATAAAGTATATAATATATATATATATATATATATATATAATATATATGATATATATATATATATATTTTATATATATATATATATATATATATATATATATATATATATATATATATATATATATATATATATATATATATATATATATATATATATATATATATATATATTAAATATATTAAGTGTGTAAAAAAATAAAATAAATTATTTACAAAAATGCAATATATTCAAGAAAATATTTTTGGTGTAAAAAAAAACGAAATGAAAATAAGAGTATTATTTGCATTATTTTCAAGTTTAAACAAAATAATATATATATTTAAATTGTTGTTTATATTAGGAAAAATTAAAATAAAATATCTAATAAATGAAAAAAATTGTGAAAATATTTTTAGAATATTTTTTATATTTGAAAATAAAATATCAAAGTCAGAAAAGAAATTAATATGCAAAAATAATGAAAATACAAAGAAATGGGCCAGGGGGTGCTGAAAGTAAGCTGGGAGGTGTTGGAAGCAAAGAAATCCAGGCCCAACCCAGACTTCATCTTCAACGTCCAAAAATTTGAAAAACGCGCGCATGCCTGTACAAACTTGTATCTCCTGTATTTGTGATCTTTTGACAAAACTCAAAACATGAAACTTGTAGAGCATCAAATCACGAATCTAATCATATAAAAAACTTAAGCTAACTCTCAAAGACCAGAGAGAATTTCTCTTGCCCTAATTTCTAACCTAGTTTTTTCAGAAATTTCATGGATGAAATTCTCCTAGCACGATTAACATAAATGAAAACTGAGCATATGTATGGTTTCAGGGCAATGAGTACAACATCTTTCATTCACAAACCTAAGGCTAAATGTTCCTAAATAGAGAGATAGAAGTTCATGAAATACTTGTTTCAGTTGAGTTCGAGTGGGCCAATACAACAACTTTCAATGGGGCCTGAGTTTCTTTTGAGCTTGCTTGATGTCCCCTGAACCTTTCCTAATGCTTAGTTTGTTTTGAAGTGGCCTGAATCGTGCTACAGAACTCAACCTGCAAAGCTTCCAAACAAAAATGGTAACGTGTGTAAATGGAGTTACAGCAGCTTGTGAATGATCTGGACAACTTAGGTGTATTGTTAAGAATGTGTTTGAAGTGATTTGGGACAAAACGCACGAGGGGATTTGGTTGTGGCTTGTGACTTGCAGAACTTGCCCTGTTTTGGGCGGAAATGGAGATTTTGTGCACAAGGGGGTTTGAGAGGTCAAAGACTCGTGTTTCTGGCTTACAAGGATATGAGAAACTTGTTTTTAAAACTTTTCTTGAGTTCAATATATCAGATGTATAAGTTATGAGCTTTTGGCCATTTGACTTGTTTTGAAAGCAAAGATGTGAAGTGACCAAGCTATGGCATGTACAGGCTAGTTACAAGCATGCTCAAGTTGGTGTATTATGCCTGAGATTAGGGAAATTGTTTGTTGCAAGGAAAAAAGTCCAAGGCTCAAGAAAATGCAATTTGACATAAAGTTCCCTTTATGAAAATGGAAGTATGACCTTTATGCTCAAAATGGAAATGTTCATTGTACAATGCTCTCTTGATCAGAATAAAGCCAATGTCCAATGTATTTCCATTCAATTTTTGAGTGTAAATTGGTTTAGAGGCCTGTAATTATGTACTAAGCTAGTTTGGTCAGATTTGACAAGTGGTATGAACATGTATTGGCCATGGTTACAAAGTGAGTTTTTGCCAACTTCAAGCATTCGATTATCCCTAACCACAAAGGTGTTTGAGGATTTCTTTGACAATTTGGAAAGCTTGAAACATGTACTATAATCCATCTTTGAAATTCAACTTAAGACTCCAAGTGGAACTATGTGAAAAATGGCCAAGAAGATGGGTCAAAATCCTGCCTAAACTAGGGCAAAATTTCTCTAAGTTAAAAGTTTTAGGTACCCTTGTTCCAAAAATCATAACTTGATATCCAAGCTTCTTTTGAGAAAACTTTGTGAATCAAAGTTGTAGACTTTGTGATGTAATACAACTTTCATGTTGTAAGTTTTGATTGAATCCCTTTGCGTCTTGGTGAAAATGTGGGGTAAACTTAGGAAAAAATAAGAAAATTTTATAACTTAGAAAATTTCTAAGTTATGAAATTTTTCCATTTTAAACCCTAATTTGCAATTTTGAGTTTCTTGATGAACAAGTTTCATAATTTGACATGTCTTGACGAAAAATGACCCTTGGCACTTGATTTTGACCAAAAAGTCAAAGTCTGACTTTTCAGTGTACAGTTAAATTTTGATCAGTTGACTGAAAAATTCATCTGTCAATCCTATGCATTTGAGATCTTTTGAACTTGTTGAATGGGTCAAGATAATGTCATTGATTCCTTGAGTCCATGTCTAAGCTTGATTTGACATTGGCTAGGTCAAACAGTCAAAAATTGCCTTTGCACAGTAAAAACCCTAAAAATGACCATTTTGCCCTTTTGGCGACCCAATCAAATTTCTTGTGGAATTGTGATTCAAACTTGATCAAAGGGTTCATATGAGTTCATAATGTTGATGTGGGTCAAAATTAATAAGGTTTGACTGTCAATTGGCCATAGTTGACTTTTTCCCCAATACAACTGATTTCTAGGTCAACTGTCCAATTGACTGGGAAAAAATTTGATTCAAGGCTTGAAACTTGGTATGGGCAAACTTATGAGTCCAACATTAAGTATGAAAGTCACTTTGGGAATTGTGGGTTAAAACATCCCTGTGCAAACTCAAACCCTAATTTAGGTCAACAGTGCAAGGAGGTGTCTTGAGCAGAGCAACCTTAGCTTGATCTTGAGTTCCAAGAGTCTTGTGATGAGAAATGTTGATGAAATGGGAGGGCAAATTTTGGGGTACAACAGCAGGCAAATTTTCTAACTCATTTAAATTATTATTAAGCTTCTCATTAATCTTATTTGTAATCTCCGATAATGTTTTTGATATAATCATAGCTTGGACACGAACAAGTTTCTGTGCCAGGACAAGAAATCCAACAATAGACTTGTCTATTTTTGAAAGGAGCGAATAAGACTCAAAAAGCTTATGCTCTTAAATTTTAGCTTCTTTTTAAGATTCATCGCTAATTCGATTCCTTACACAAATATAACTAAGGCCTGTGTTAACATCGTCAACTTTAACCTTCTCCAACAAACCTTCGGGAGACTTGCCAGCTTTTGTAACGACAAACAAAGTTCTCGATCCCGTTTTATCAACAGACTGAGACGTCCTAGTGGACTCACATGTTGTGAAATCAACAGTAGTCGAAAGAACATTCAACATAATGCTTTCTTCAGGAGTTATGTACTCCATGATGATATCCTTGATTTGATCATAGATATTATCTGGCTGACCATGAACAAGTACACGAGTAATTCCCAGAAGATCCATCATAGTTAAATCAGGCACACTGTTCTTCTTCACAATAAAAGTCAAAGGGTTGTTGGAAACTCCTTTTTGCAGTACCAGCAAGCTCTTCAGTAGCCATGTTGATGACATCAGAGACATTTGCTTCATCATTTGAAACATTATTGGTATTATATTCTAAGACAAGCTCTGGCTCTCGAACGTTTCTACGTATCATTTGAAGAAAAAGTTGAAAAGCTTCCAAAGCATGTCCATTTTGAAGATAAGCAGCTATCAAGGTGTTCCACGAACCAACATTTATTGTTTTCTGAGCATCCATTTTGGAAAAAACTAAGGCAGCTAATCTTACACCACCACATTTATGATAGATATCCAAAAGGGTTGTCTCAAAAACATCATCACACAAACCGTATCCACTTATGTTATTACTCTTCCAACCATATTGTGTCACCTAATGCTCAAACTTTGACAAGAGTTCACAACCACAACTCTCATAGAGACAATTAGCAAGCAAATGTAAAGCAAGATCAATATTTATTTCTATATACTAAAGATTATAGAAAAGATAATGCATGTTGGTAGCATAAGCCTCTTGCAATACAATAAACAAGTGCTCATCATCTGTGAAATTTAGACAAACCTTCTTTAAAATATCGCCTGAAATTCTGGTATCAGATATGTGAGGTCGAAGGAGATGTCACGACATAAATATCTGAGGACAATATAAAATGCAACAATATTAAAGCAATAAAAACACAAAGGATTGTTAACCCAGTTCGGTGTACAAGAACACCTACTCTGGGGGCTATCAAGCCAGGGACAAGCCCACTAAATAGTATCAATTCATAGACCCTCAGTAAACAACCAATTTACGATCTAATCACTTAATCACTACCCGTGATATACTTCTACCTAAGACACACCTAGATATGAGGCCCTCATCAAACCCCTTCAATCACTAACAGTGAAAAACAACTAAATTATTAAGTTTGAAAAACCTCAATCATTCAATACTTAAAAGCTTATGAATGACCACAATTCACAACTCAAATTACAACTCAGGTATTGAAACAATACTAGAGTGTATTACAATTAAAAGACTCAGACTTCTAAAATACACAGAGTATATTTTTCTTCAATTGTTGCAGTAGTACCAATAAGGATGCAAGTCCTTATAAAGGCGCAACAACTTCTTTATGGACTTGGGATGAAAAACCAATACTGCAATATATTGAATCCCTTAAAAATCTCCATGAAAGTAGGCCAAGATATAAACCATAAAGATGAGACAAGTCGAAAAATATTCCTCCATATTTTTCCCAAGTTATAACCCACAAAACCTGAATAAGGCGCTCTTAAAAATAGGAAGCAGAAGATCTGAAAACAAGTTCAGATCAGCAGGAAGATGTCTAGGCATCTACTTTGACATTATTCAAAATCAGTTGAGATAAATTACTTCAGATGTCAAGACATTAAGCAAAACATTACCAAAGCAATGTTTTACCAAAATTGTTTCCAACAAACACTTACAAACTCCTCCTTTGGCAAATTTTGGCTAAAACAATATTTGACCACATTATCAGAGCAACAACAAAAAAAACTCAGTTAGCAGAAACTCAGTTAGTTAGTAGTGGAAGATGTCAGGGCATCTTTTGAGACATGAAGCTCCCCCTCAAACTTACCAGTCAGTCAATCAGTTTCTTTCCCCCTTTTTAGACATAATATGCCAAGTAAACATGCATTCAAGAGAGTAGTAGAAAAAGAATTACATACCAGAACATCCAAGTATCAAGCGCATACAAGTGCCAAAAATAAAATAGGGATCAAAAAACAAAAGAACACAAAAAAGGCACCGACACAAAGTATAACTGCCTTCGGGACCAGTAGACTTGGTAGTTTCAGAACTTCCTTCATTATCAGAATCTCCTCCTTTAGTACCCACACTGCTATCCTTTTACAGATCCTTGATAAGCTTTTCAAATTTTAGCTTCCTTGCTGAGCTAACTCTGATTACCTCATCAAGTTCTTTGCAGGCTTCTATCAACTCAATAATCATATCATCCTTTCTTGAGGTCTTGTTTTCAGAGGATGCAGATGTCAAAACAATGTCTGGGACATGTTTACCTGAAAATAACTTGAAATGAAGGGACATGGCAGACTCCCTTTTGCAAACTTCATCAGTGCCACACAGAATTACATGGTGTTGATTTACAATAATTCCACAAATGAGAGATGGAAAGACAATATGCATCTTGATAGCACAGGTTCCTGCATGCTTTACAGTCTATTCAAAAATGTAAGCACCATAATCAAATAATTTCTTATTTCCAACAACATAGATAAATTTTCCTAAGCCAATTGTAATAGTTAAGGTATGATTGGTAGGGACCCAGTTAACAGCTCTAATTCTATGCAGGATAACATATTTCACACTTCACTTACTAACATGGAGCTTATTCTTCATGGGCCAATCACTCACTTGGTTTGCAGTGATGGCTTTGCACACTTGATTATCAGTCACTTCCAACTCCCAATAATCATCTTCAGACCTACCCAGATATCTATTGATGATAGCAGGGGGAAAATTAACACATCTACCTCTAACAAACACTTTCCTATATTCCTAACTTCTGTGATCAGCATAATCTATAGGAATATTAACAATAAATTCCTTGACAAGGGTCTCATAACATTTTGCAAACCTGGTGACAGTCTTCATCAAGCCAGTAAAAGAAATCATCTTTATAATCTCTTTGTGCTCCAGTGCATTTGCTCCTAACTCTCTTTCAAGGGCAGTCCTTCTTTGGAAGACATATTTCCATTTTTCAGCATTTCCAACAGAATGGAAGGAAATGTTGTCAAGAGGAGCATCAGGCACCCTGACAGAAAGCTTCTTGCTTGTAAACTTATTCATAGGAGATATGTCATGCACATTATCCTCATCATCATCTGATGAGCTATAAGGTCTAACTTTTCTTTTTTTGGAGGGAGGAACCACTTTACTCCAGGGCTTTAGGGGACCATACATAGTCTTCTTCTTGATACTCTTGGCAGGGGGTGTGACATCCACAGTCTTCACTTTTCTAGATTTGCGCCTGTTAGCAATTCCAGGTACCACATTGGTAATAATGTCATTGTCAGACAGCTCATCAACATTCAACACATTCTTAACATTTGGATTCTTTGCAGTTTTGGAGCCAGCAACATCTTCCTTAGCAGAAGAGTCCTACTCAGCAGATGATGTCTCAACATCTTGTTCATTATCAACTTCCACTTCTTCTAGAACAGATGTAGCAAACTTGTGAAGTTCACTTTCAGCAACATCTTTCTTTAAGGTAGATGATTCAGTAGCATTTTGAGGATCAGTTCCTTTGTCATCCTGAGTAGGCATTCGGGCAAGAGGAGTAGAAATCTCAGGAATAGCAAAACCCTTATTTAACACCCTATCTAGCAGCCTTCTAATACTCATATCAACATTAACAATATCTTCTTTTGACCTATCATCAGTAGTATTATGAGCATTACCTTTAGAGGTGTCAAACTCGTCTTTGGATTTCTTTGCATGTGATGATCTGGGTTTCTTGACCTTCTTCTCAAGAGGTTGAATAGTTTTCAGAGGAGCGATGATCAAGACTTTATCAAGGGACATATCCTTAGGATGGTTGATAGACTTTGACCTAGAAGCCTTGGCTTCATCAGAAGAACACTTTGAGGGAGACGAAGCATGATGTTGCGACATCTTTGAATATTTTTGAACAGTGAGATGGAAAATAGCAAGGGTTCTTTTTCTGTAAAGGAGAATGAAAAGGTTGTGAAAATAGAATGAGGTAATGTTGTAGCGTGTGGGAGAGTATTTGAGATAATCTTGAAATGATTTCTTAAGATATTTGATTTGTTGGAAACATAATAAATGATATAATATGACTTTAATGATATTTCCACACACCCTCAATTGCTAAAAACCCTCATATATGCAGATCCCTAGTTTTCCTCTTAAGTTCTCAAACTGGTTTACATCTAAAGCCTTAGTGAAAATTTCATCCAGTTGTAATTCAGTAGCTACATGTTCTAAGGCAACAATATTTTCTTCAACAAGCTCTCTTATAAAGTGATTCCAGATATCAATGTGTTTGGTCCTGCTGTGTTGAATAGGATTTTTTGATATATTTATGGAACTTAGATTGTCACAAAATAATGTCATGGCATCCTGTTTGAAATTATACTCTGTCAACATTTATTTCATCCAAACCAACTGAGAACAATTGGTTCCTGCAACAATATACTGATCCTCAACAATGGACAGAGACTCACAACTTTGCTTCTTAATGAACCAAGATATGAGAATATTTCCCAGAAAGAAACATCCTCCTGATGTACTTTTTCTATCATCAGCACTTCCTGCCTAATCAACATCACAATACCCAATTAAAGTTGAGCTAGATTCATGAGAATATAGCATACCATAGTCACTTGTCTCATTCACATATTTAAGAATTATCTTCACATGGTTGGCATGGCTAACTTTAGGATCAGATTGATATCTAGCACACACCCCTGCAGCAAAGACAATGTCAGGTCTACTAGTTATGAGATATAGAAGACTGCATATCATACTTCTGTAAAAACATTGATTCACCTTACTCCTTTTCCATCTTTAGACAACTTCAGATGTGCGGGAGCAGGTGTTATTTTGTGACTGGAATTTTCCATCCCAAATTTATATACTATATTATTTGCATATTTGCTCTGAGATAAGAATATGGAATCTTCCATTTGTTTAACTTGCAGACCAAGAAAGTAGGTTAACTCACCAACAAGGCTCATCTCAAATTCTGACTGCATTTGCTTAACAAAATGTTGAACCATTTCATTTGACATCCCACCAAACATAATATCATCAACATAAATCTGTTTAATCATGATCTCCCATTCTTATTCCTTGACAAATAGAGTTTTGTCTATGCTGCCTTTCCTATATCCATTCTCACCAAGAAATTTTCTCAATCTCTCATACCAAGCTCTTGGAGCCTGCTTTAATCCATACAGAGCTTTCTTTAGTTTGTACATATGGTTAGGAAAGCTTGGATAAACAAATCTGTTAGGTTGTTCCACATAAACTTCCTCATTCAGATAGCCATTTAAGAAGGCACTCTTTACATCCATTTGAAACAACTTAAATCTCAGAATGCAAGCAACTCCTAAGAGTAGTCTAATTGATTCAAGTCTGGCCACAGGGGCAAAGGTTTCATCAAAATCCACTCCATTAATTTGAGTGCACCCTTGTTAAAATAATCTTGCCTTATTTCTAGTTACCACCCCTTTTTCATCGGATTTATTCTTGTACACCCATTTGGTGCCAATCATATTTGTCCCTTTAGGTCTTGGAACCAGATCCCAAACTTCATTTCTTCTAAATTGTTCTAGTTCGTCTTGCATATCATTAATCCAGAACTCATTAGTTAAGGCTTCTTTGACATTCTTAGGCTCAATTTTTGAAACAAAGCAAGCGTTTGACATTCCTTCACTTAATCTAGTAGTAACTCCTTTATTTAGATCTCCTATAATAATATCCTTAGGATAATCTCTCTGAATTATGATTGAAGGCCCTTTATTGAGTTGATTGGGCTCAGGATCTTCTTGAGTTGGATTAAGATTAGTTCTTCTGTCACTAGATTCTATTGGAATGTCTGACAAATATGTTCTAACATCTTCTAAGATATCTTCTTCATCATTCCATCCTCTATCATCAATAATAACATTTATGAATTCTATCATAACCTTACTTCTGGAATTAAATACTCTATAAGCTTTGATATTTGTAGAGTAACCTAGGAATATTCCCTCATCACTCTTGGGATCCGTCTTCCTTCTTTGTTCACGATCAGCTAAGATGTAACATTTACTTCCAAAAACATGAAAGTATTTGACAATAGGTTTTCTTCCCTTCCATATTTCATACAAGGTGATTGATGTGTCTTTTCTTAGAGTGACTCTGTTATGGATATAACACGCAGTATTCATAGCTTGAGCCCAAAAGTGGTAGGGTAACTTCTTAGAATGAATCATAGCTCTGGCAGATTCCTTAAGAGTTCTGTTTTTGTGTTCCACAATCCCATTTTGCTGATGAGTAATGGGAGAGGAAAATTCATGACTGATGCCTTCAGAAGAAAAAAATCAGAAAATTTATTGTTCTCAAATTCCTTTCCATGATCACTTCTGATTCTGATGACATGACTATCCTTTTCTCTTTGAAGTTTTTGACATAGATCTTTGAAGACTTCAAAAGTTTTTGATTTTTCTCTGATAAAACTTATCCATGTGTACCTAGAGAAGTCGTCTACAATAACATATGCATACTTCTTTCCACCAAGACTTTCAACCTTCATAGGTCCCATCAAGTCCATGTGAAGTTACAAAACTTTTGATTTGGTTAGATGTTGGATCCTTTGATGTGACATCTTAGTTTGTTTTCCAATCTGGAATTCACCATATACTCTTCCTTCTTCTATCTTGAGCTTAGGAATCCCTCTCACAACTTCTATAGATATGATTCTCTTCATTCCTTTCAGATGAAAATGTCCCAGTTTTTGATGCCACATTTTAACTTTATTTTCTTTGGATAAAGCACATGTTGAGGAGAAGTTTAACTCTTGGGGAACCCATAAATAACAGTTGTCTTTAGATTTGATTCCTTTCATAATAACTTCATTCTTCTCATTGCAAACGAGATATTCTGTATTGGTGAAGTTTTACTTGAACCCTTAATCACACAGTTGACTTATAATTATTAGGTTAGTTCTTAAACCTTTAACAAGTAACACATTATCATGTTTTGGGACTGCTGAGCATTCCAACTTTCCAACTCATTTGATTTCACCGTTGGCTCCATCACCAAAAGTCACATAACTGGTGGAGTGAGATTTGATATCTAGAAACCGATTCTTAACACCTGTCATGTGTCTAGAACAACCACTGTCAAAGTACCAGTCATCTTTGGTTGAGACTCTGAGAGAGATGTGAGATATGAGACTAGCAACAGTAGTCTTGGGAACCCAG